TAAATTTTTTCTGGCTTTCTCGATAAATTTATTAATTTAACTAGTTGGTTTATATCTGAGAATTTTTTCCGTTTCAGAGAATTTATTTTTTGTTTGTTTTTCTGAGAATTTTTTCTGTTTTCTGATAATTATTATTTATCTTTTCTCGGATATTTTTTCCGTTTCTCTGATAATTTATTTTGTTTGTTTCTAGTATTTTTTCTGTTTTCAATAATTTATTTTATGGTTGGTTTTCTGATAATTTCTGGGGTCTGAGTAATTATTTTTTTTTTTCGAGTAAATTTTTTTCCTGGTTTTCAAGAAATTTATTTTTTGTTTGTTTCTGAGTATTTTTTCGTTTCTGATAATTATATTCTCATTTTTCCTCGAGTAATATTATGTTTTCTATTTCTGAGTAAATGTTATTTATGGTTGTTTTTCTGAGTAAAAAAAACAAACCAAAAAATAAATTACTCAGAAAAACAAACCAAAAAATAAATTACTCAGAAAAACAAACCAAAAAATAAATTACTCAGAAAAACAAACCAAAAAATAAATTACTCAGAAGAAAAATAAATCAAACCCGTATTAATTTGTAGTTTATTTATTGTCACAAACAGGCGGAAGTTATCGCTCTTGCATCGTGCGTACTCTTTGGCAGAACCCCCGGATACATCCGGTTCCGGTCGAGGCGCCATTTTGATGAAACAGCGAGGAGAGAAGCAGTTTGGACCAACGAAATGGATTTTTTATGGATTTAACTCGAAGATTAATCCGGATACACCACTTTCAGCGTTTCATCATGGAAAATAACCGTGTACCGAAGAGGAATCGTTGCGTCCTGGCTGCGTAACCGGTGGATTTTGTTCGTTTTGGCCGTCAGTTAACTTGGGCAACATTGTTAGCATAGCACCATTTAACCATTTAGCTGTTCGCTTTTGTTTGGCAAAGTGTTTTCATGTTGTGTTGAGTGGCGAGGTAACGTGAACTAATCCCCGAGGTATCTAAGATAATTACACATTTCTACGACAGATTACGGGTTTTCAGAATAATATCTTTTTGTTCTGGGGGAGTGGGGGGGAGGGAGGTGATAACAGATAAAGATAAAACTTGTGGACTCGTTGCGGAAGCTCCCCACACAGTTTATGGACTTCATTTTTTTTGTGGAGCTCGGTCTTGACTTAAAGAATAAGAACTGCTCCAACAAAAGGAGGCACAACATTTAACATTTTCCCCACACGGACTGCTCACTCACTGGAAACCCCCCGGGCCCGCTGCTCGGCCACCTCTAGCGGCTCGCAGCGCGGCGGCTTTTCCACCAAAAGGACAATTCACGACGGACTTGGCCTCGTTTACATCCATGTGATAGGTTTTGCCTCCGTGCTGGATGGACTTTCTCGCATTTGGAGGCACCCTGTTGTGTTTTAACGGACCTTTAAAGACCTGAAGAGGCACACTGCGCCGCTCAATGGCGCGCTGGCCTCGCAACTCGCTTATTTTTCTTTGGCAATAACAAGGACTCATCTGTCGTCTTCTGCGAGCTGAACCCTTCCTTATCTTAGTCCTCTTTGTCCACAGTGTTTCAGCGAATATAAAGAAGGTTTACCCATTAAAATCACCAGATTTAGCCTCCTGTGTTCACTGTTGACGCTGTTTTATTTTGTTATCATACCAGGCCTGTGTTTTTTTTTCTTTTTTCTCTCTCCTTGTGCTTTAAGTGCTTAGACCTGTTTAAAAAAAAAAAAAAAAAAATGTCGTGTGTTCACTATAAGTTTTCTTCCAAACTGGACTACAACACAGTCACTTTCGATGGGCTGCATATCACCCTCAGCGAGCTTAAAAGGCAGATTATGGGCCGAGAGCGCCTCAAGGCCACAGACTGCGACCTGCAGATCACCAATGCGCAGACGCGAGAAGGTAACGTTATCAGCTGACACGTTACAAAATCTGTGACAAATGTGTCGTCCGTTGTTTTTGGGAGCAGTGGGGGTGAATGACAGGCGGGTGTTTTCTGTTTTTAATAGGTTTGATGAGGTTGAGGGTTGTTTTTTTTTTTATGTAAGTGGGGATTTGTGTTGTGATGCACCAAATTCAGGACTGTTTTTGTTCTAGTCAGGCTCAAATCTGTTTTACAGATTGTTGTACGATGTATTATGTGGTTTTTATAAATCACAAAGTAGGGGGAAATGCTCATCGCAAATTCCCAGTGCCCAATATAATGTCTAAATAATCTAAATAGATCTTTTATTATAGAAAAGACCTGAAAACTAATAAAAAAACACCCCTGAGAAGCGGGAACCAGTGAGTTTCTGCTCTTATTTATTACATTTTAACATATTTGGGGATTTTTTAATAGATTGTTTCAGCTCAATAACACTAATTAATACCAATAGACAGTTTTTTTAATGGTCTAAATATGTTATAATGCTGAGTGTGTATGGTATTTACCTCCAACCTCAATTTACCAATCTAGTAGGTGATGAATTAAAATAAGGTGCTAAATAAGTAAGATTTGTATCAGTTTATATTACATTACCGTTATTATTTTAAAAGCTGTAGTTGCCATAGTAAACTAACTCACCTGTAAACGTCTTACTTTATACATCTGATGTTTTAAGTTGACCCAGGTCACATATATACGATTCCTTATACTGCGGCAGTGTTGGCAATATTGTTTAGCTGTCGTCACATTTTAATGTTTTCTCATAACTCGTTTCTCATTCCTTGTAGAATACACAGACGATGAAGCCCACATCCCGAAACACTCGTCCGTGATCGTCCGCCGCACTCCGATTGGTGGAGTAAAACCTGCTGGCAGGACGTTCATTGTGTATGTATACTTTAAAATATAAAACTGTTACTGGAATTGTGAAATACGCTCACTGAGCTATGAACAGGTTTACACCAGGATCAGACGTCTCTCTGTAAACCGTTATAGATGAACTCTTGAGCCTGTCGTCAGTCTGGTTCTGCCAAAACTGATGGTTTCTTCCTCTCCTGTGTTTTGATTCTGCAGAGATCGTTCTGACACAGCTGTGGTGGGATCTTCTAGACCCGTATGTAAAACAAACCCAAAATCAACACACTCTCCTCCTCCTCCTCCTCCTCTCACCTCTCTCCCTCTCCCCCTCTTTCTGGCTTTAGTCACCTTTCTTGAGAACATTCTGTCAACAATAATTGAGTTGTGTGTATCTTCTGTTCACTGTGTGTTTGCTACATTTGTGATGAGATCTCAACCTCTATATGTTATTTGATGTCTTTCTGGGAGGGTTTCCTCGAGTTACCACAGTTTAAAACAGTTTGTTGTTTCTCTCCAAAAACCCTGTGTTTCTGTTTTGAAATGAGCAGATTAAAGTTTTGAGATGAGGTTGAGATGAGAAACAACAGACTAGCCACCATTGTTTTTGAATGCTCTGAACTGACCAAATGTCGAACTGTTGCCACTTTATAATTGATTGAGAAACCATTTAAACTGTTAATGACTGTATTTCATAATGAAATGCTTTTGTAGCCTGCTTCAGGCCAGGCAATTGTATTTTAAAGGGGTTTGTAAAAGGAAAATATGGTATTTTTGTATTTATAATTCATTGTCATTTTATTTTCTGTGAAAATATTTTATGATGTGGTTTAAGAACCCAACGAAGTAAAGTGTGGCTGGGCTTTATTGTAATTAAGGTTGATTACAATTACAAGACTTAAGTTCTGTGAGTGGAAGAGACTCGCCAGTGATTTTTATTTTGAAAGCTAACCCTGCTAAACTTTAATATACTCAAGTCTGTTGTTCAGTAACATTTGCCAATGTCAATTGTTTTGTCCTGTACAATTTCACCATAAAGATGTTCTATTCTGCATTGAGTATGGACTGCACATAACCCTTAAACCTTAAAGGCTCACAGGTTTCATCCTAATGAGTTAAATGCTTTGAATTAATTCAGATATCCAATTGTCTGTTTTACAACGATGCAGGTACTAGTTCAAAGTGTATTGTTACAACTGTGGTTTGGGGGATCAGTAAAAAGCTAGTTTTGATAAGTGAGATGCTGTGACTTGGCCACTGACGTATAATGTTGTGACATGATCACAAAGTACTATGACACATTATCAGTAAAAGTAAATATCTTGTCAATCTCTGGAGGCCTTCCATGGTTGCTGCAGTGAGACGTATACTGGTGTAGTGTGTCCTGTAAGCTGTAAGCTGCAGAACCTGTCAATAAAGTTGTTCAGTGGTTCAGTGTCAGAACCGCTTGCACCAGATCCCTGTGTGTTCCCTCCACAGCATTCTGCAATACCCAGTGTTTCCTCCGAGCCCTGCATATCATGCTGGACAACCCACCCTGCCCGTTTATTTACTTTAAAGAAAATTATTACAAGAATTAGGCAGAGCAGCCCTTTTTTTTTTTGTTGTAAAACACGACTTTTTTTGTCCGTTCATTGGCTCCCGGCCTGCATTACAGAGACACCCCTCCGCTGGCTTTCACCCTTCACTCTGTAGTGGTGTAGGGGCTGTTTTAGGGAACAGTTTGAAGGAAGGAACACTTGACAACTCTTGTTAGTTTCGTTTTTTCTTCATCAAGCACTTTTTTTTTTTTAAAGAACAGCTTTACAGTTGTGTCTTATTAGCTCTACATATTTGACACTTAACACCGTTTGCTTTATTTTATTGAAACAGCTTGGCGCCACGCCTTGCTACCCCATTAGTTTACAGAAAGCAGTCTTGAGCTGGTTTTGATGAGAGTTATGACAACCTCTTTTGACAAGCTGGTAAAAAAAAACTTAAATCACTGCGGCCTGGTGAAGGGAAAACTGCATGCTAAAATTAAATGTCAAGTATTCCTTTGAGAAAATACACCCTCTCCCTACCATAGCAGGAGAAGCTTTAAGATCCCTACAGAGGGATGTGTCAGTAGTGTACACTTTGAATGTGCTGATGAAGGCCAAATAGCGTGCAAGGTTTGAAGTGTTTAAGCAGATTCTCTTGGACATTGGACATTACCATAGTAAGAACTTAAAGGCTCAGAATATAAGTAGATCGAGACTTGTATATATGGAAGAGTGGTTTGAGTAAGTTAAGCAGTGTTAAAGCGCTCCAGGATTTTCATACAGTGACAGATGTCATTTTCAATGATTTTGCTTCTTCAGGATAAGTAAATGTTTTTGAAACTAGCAACTAAATGCACAATAATTGCATTGTGTATACAAGTAGTTAATTAATAGGCATAAAACTCCTTTTTTTTTTTTTTTTTAAAGTCACCTTATTGGTATATTACATCGCTGTTAGTGTAATTTCTTTAATTCTCTGAACTCCGATCTCTTTAATACAAACGGCTCTGAATAGACACAACCCGAGGATTTTCTTAAAGGATTATGACACAATGCTGTCAGCAGAGGGAAGAACATCAAGCACAAGCCTAGTAAATCATGTCTTGATTTAAATGCTCACTCGTGTGCCGGTAGTATTTCATGCACTTCAAATACTCATCAAAGGCTTTCATTTTGGTGCAAAGACTTAAATGGAGACTCTAAGGGAATGGACACAGATGTGGTGGGGAACTATCTGGGCTCTTATCTTCCACTGTATGTCTATTACATATCATGTTAACCCTTTTAATATCTGTACTCTGATTCTCCTGCAGACTGATTCTTCTCCTTCTATGTCACTTGCCCAACTCGCCAAGGTACTGTTTCTACACATGCTGGCTGTACTTCCAGAAAACATTTAAGTCGCATAGATATGCGTTTTATTCCTGTGGGGTTGACGTCCTTCTTTTCTCTTCATTTGCTCTCTCCACTATGCGTTTTAGACTGCTAACCTGGTTGACGCTAATGCATCAGAGGAGGACAAGATTAAAGCCATGATGTCTCAGTCCAATCATGAATATGACCCCATACAGTTAGTATACACATACTTGTTCTTTGTTATTGAGCTCTAGCTCTACTAAACATTTACTGAATAATTGAACTTGTCTCTATAGTTACTCCAAGAAAGCAGTTGGACCTCCACCTGCTCACTATACCTGCTATCGTTGTGGAAAGGCTGGTCACTACATCAGGCAATGCCCTTTGCTGATGGTAATTATCATGCATCATTTGATTTTCAGAGTCTCCTTAACTACATTGCAGTATACTGTCTAAAGTCATATTTGCTTTTTAGATAATTACTTTGTTTTTAACAATTTTTTAACTTTTTAGGTCCAAGATAAGAGTGTGGAGGGTCCCAAGCAAGTAAGGATTAGTAAGGGCATTCCCCAGAGCTTCATGGTGAAAGCAGAGCCGGGCACCAAGGGAGCCATGTTAACCAGCACCGGAGAATACGCTATACCTGCTATAGATGCGTACGTGTCAACCAAGGACATCACACACTGTTCAGTATACCTGTAGTAGTGTCAAATTTGTCTTTTGTCATAACCCATTTTGTATCTGTGTCCACAATAGGTTTACTGCTTTCTTTTTGCTTGTAACATCGTTTCAAAATGTAAAAAAATTCATCTTTGTTAATGCAGGGAGGCGTATGCACAAGGAAAGAAGGAGCGCCCTCCGTTTGTTCCACATGACCAGTCATCATCTGAGGATGACTCAGACCCGATCCCAGATGAACTCCTGTGTCCCATTTGCAATGACCTGATGACTGACGCTGTAGTTATACCCTGCTGTGGAAACAGTTACTGCGATGATTGTGAGTTGTTGCTTGTACTACACAGTAATACAAATCTAAATTGGCACAAAATTAATACTAATCAAAAAAGGAGGAAGTCAAAACTAGTCTTTGCCAAGCCCAGAATTATATATTATTGAATGTGTTTTGGTTCCACCTCATATTTGTCTCGTTCTGTACAATTGTTCAACAGTCATTTAGGGGAAAACCCACTGTGGAAATGGCAGAAATACTCATTTATCCAACAGTGGCCTCTTGAGAGCACTACAGCCCCAGGACACGTTTTATTAATTTTGAGTAGCTGTAGAATTTTTAGCTCCTAAATTTTAGTTGGAAATTCTCTTGCTCCTGTGTATTGGAATGATTTCACGCTCAGTCTCTGGAAAACTAGTAGAAAATCATGCTCTAAAATATATGTAGATGAGGCAGGTTGAGGGGGGAGTTCCTTTCATTAAATATTTACATTATCATAAAAGTGTAAATACTTTTTTTGTTTTTGTTGTTTTGGTGTGGTTTCGTCTAATTAGCGACTGTTTGTTTTCAGGTATCAGGACGACCTTGTTGGACTCAGAGGAGCACATCTGCTTCACGTGCAAACAGTCAGATGTTTCACCTGATAATCTCATTGCCAACAAGTTTCTTCGACAGGTAACCCCTTCAAATGCATGCATTTTGATGTTTTGCTTTGTTTGATTAAGTTTACTTGAGCTCAAAGCTCAACTCTAACAAAACTATAAAAAAGCATGTATGTTTTTTTTTTTTTTAATGATCTGTTCTTCCCCCTGCAGGCTGTAAACAATTTTAAGAATGAGACTGGATACACCAAACATGTGCGCAAGCAGCTCCAAAATGCAGCCCCGCCTCCACCACGCCCCCAGTTGCTCAGGCCTCTGCACTCAAGACAACAGGACCCACTGCTAGCCAATGTCACTCACCCTTCAACAAGCGCACCCTCCACCGCCCCTCAGGCCCAGGTCCCTCCCCCTGCACCTGTTGCTTCTGCTGCTGCTACTACTGCTGCTGCTCCTGCTGCTCCTTCTGCTCCTACTCCTCCTCATGCTTCCGTTGAAGTACAAGATGCTTCACCAGCCCCTCCACCTGTTGTTGATCACCATTCTCCTATGCGTTCCACCAGCCAGGGTGAACCTCCCCCACCAGGGTAAGTTGAGTCTGAGATAGTGTCTAAAGAAGCGATGTTTGAAGTGAAGAGCCCTTTTAATTGGCCGTATGTGTCTGTTTATGTTTTAGAGAATCAGATCCAGAACCCACTGTGACACCAGACTCATCGGGGACCTCAGAAAGTGGATCACAGGTGAGTCTGCTTTCATCGCCTGAGTAAAGGTGTACTGCCAGATATCCTCACAAGTAACATGACTAAAGAAATAAGTGACAGCTAATTTTCTGATGAAAAATAAACGTGACAACTCAAGCTCATTGTTACTATTGTTAGGGCTGAGTTTATGGCTAAGAGAGCTGATGTGGCTGATATAAATGCAACAACCAATAATATTAATCTTACAATTGCACAAATGTGATGAGGAAAATAAATGTATATTATTACTATTATACTGTAATAACCTTAGTTTGTTTTTAAATATTGACTGATTATTGACACATCCTATCTACTTGTTGACACGCATGTAAAGGCTACAGCAAAACAGAATAACTTTATATACTCTCTGACTAGTTAATGGTTGAATTTCACTGTTTAGAAGGGCTGCATATTAAAGGAAAGGATTAATATTAATATTATTGTTATTATTTTGCACCAAGTTAAACAGAAAATCTGCAGACCTTTGACTGTCCTTTGCACCTAGTTTTGTATCCCTGAACCTGAGAAACTGATGAGGTAACTACATTTCTCCCACAGAACTACCATTTAAGTATTGTTGGCCACCCGCCACCAGTGAGGCCGCCTCATCCTTCAGGTAAGAGGTTTAATTTAGGTTATTTAAGGAGATTAAGTGAGCTCGAAAGAAAGACATTCAGCCACTAACAAACTGTCTCTATACTCAATCAGGTCACCAGTCACGGCCCCAACACTCTCACAGGGGGGGAGGCAGACACTGGGAGAGGTAAGGTCTATGAGATCTAATCCATCACAACTTTGTATTGTAATATTTGGTTCTCACAATGGTTTCTGCCCCCTCTCTTTGTACCAGGTCTTTCAGAGGTAGAGGAGAGCACCCCTCCCCTCACCTCCAGACAGCTCCACCTACTGCACCTGTTCCTCCGGTGTTCCCAGCTCCGTCGCTGTACCCACCCCCACTTCAGCCCTACCCCCCTCCGTACACCTCTGGTCCTAGCCTTATCCCTCCCCCTGCCATCAGTTACCAGCCACAACCTGTCTATGCCCCTGGACCACCAGTGCTCAACCCTCCTTGGGTTGCCCCTGGTGCCCAGCCCCCTCTTCTCCCTCTTCCACCCTCCCTCTCTCAGCCCCCCCTCTCTAAGGAAGATTTCTACAGACAACGCCACCACCGACAGGACAAGTAAGTTGTTTCTTTTTCTTTTTGGGTCTTCAAACTGCTACAAAGGCAGCTAATGACTTATGTGGAATTTACATTTAACATCACTCTGGTTTGGGATTAGTAAGGGATTCAGTAAGATAAAAACTTTGACACTGGAGTAGTTTTTAAAGTTTTTCTTTTTGTCTTTGTGTCCACAGTGTTACATCCAAACTGGATGAATTTACTAAAGACTTCCACAAAGAGCTAATGAAGTACAGAAATGCACCAAAGAGACGGAGACCGTCTTATTCCAGGTAACTTCATGTCGTATTAAAATTGGTTGTAGTTATTAAATTAATGACATATGCATAAGCATGCATCCTTGTTGTTACATTGCCATTTTCCATTTGTTACATTTTTGCGTAAAATCTGCTTTCTTTCTCCCCTTGTTTCCTTCTGGTCTTCTCAAACATTTATTTTTCTAGGTCGCGGTCATACAGTCGCTCTCCATTCAGCCGTTCTTACTCTCGTTCTAGATCAAGATCCAGATCAAGATCCAGGTCTTACTCTTATTCTCCCAGTCGATCCCGCTCCCGTTCACGCTCCCATGGCCGGTCTTATCCCCGCTCCCCCTATTCTAGACGCAATGGACGCAGTTACGGACGCTCCCGGACGAGGTCCCGCTCTCGTTCAAGGTCTTATGGGTATCGGCGCTCTGGATCACCACGCTCTCCTCCCACCTACAGGGGAGGAGGATGGGAGGGACCAGAAGGAGCAGGACCCTACAGGTCTAGATCACGGTCTCGCTCCCCTGGTGGCTTCCGGAGCCGCAGCCCTGGTGGACGAAAGCCACCTCCTCGGGAGCTGCCACCATATGAACTGAAGGGTCCGAGTCCTGGGGGCCATGATCGCTGGGAAAGAGAAAGGTACCGACAGTGGGAGAAGGAGTATGCAGACTGGTACAACAAATACTACAAAGACTATGACAACCAACATCCATCGCTGCATCACAGAGGTCGTGGCAGCAGGGACAGGGAGAGGGACAGAATGTCCCCATTATCTAGAGATTACTCTCCCCAGGGCAGAGGAAGAAGAGGGAGGGACGAGAGAGGCGCTCCACCTCACCATCCTCCATCCTCTTCCTCATCAGGGACCAAGTCCAGCGCTAAAGTCCTGAAGACAAAGAAAGTAAAAAAGAAGAAGACTGGGGATGAATCAGAAACATCACACCAGTCAGTGGACAGAGGTGATGCAACTCCTGTCAGAGATGAACCAATGGACGAAATCCCTTCACTCATTAAAACCCCTCCCATCTCCTCAAAGCCTCCGGTTGGCGCTGCAACCACTAAAGCCCCAGCCTCTAAAAGCCCTGCTGCACCCGTTAAACCCTCAACCAAGTCAACGTCAAAGACTCAGTCGGATAAGACGAAGAAAGATTCAAAAGGTCAAAAGGTAAAAGCTAAAGTGAAGACAGAGGGCACAAAGGTGAAGAGTGACAAGGTGAAGAAAAAGACGGCAGAAGTAGTGGTGACCAAAAAGAAAGACTCCTCATCTTCCTCCTCCTCTTCTGTCGCTAAACCGTTAAAGACCAGTAAAGCCAAACCAGAAGATGCCTCCAACTCAACTACCCCTAAAAAGGAAAAGGGTAAAAGCTCTGCAGTGAGGCCTGCCCTGCTGAAGACCCCCTTACTGCCCCCCCAGAACCTGCCTCTACATCATCCCTCTCTTCATGACGGCCCTCGACCTGGCCACGACATCCGTGGGAGGAGAGATCTTCCACAGAGCAGTGGTCTCCTCCCCATCCCCCATCAACACATACTCCCACTCCTCCACCGGCCAGCCTCCCCAGTGGACAGTCGGAGGAGGATGGGAGAGGAGGGTCGCTCTTTACTCGGACCTCCTCCTGGAAAGCTGAGGAGAATCGATGGGCTCGGGGTTGGAGGCGATGTCATCTCCCACTCGCATATGTCTCATCAGCCCCCGCTCCACAGACTCCCACCCCCTTCAGACAGGCCTGGTCTTCTCCCCCTACCAGGGAGCCGTGAGATGGGTCGGGGAGATACAGATCGAGGATCCATCAGATCTTTAAGGGACCTTCAGGTGGGTTTATTGAAACACTAGGAAAGGTTTTTAGAGAGGGTATTTACCGATCTGTTTATCTGCAATCATTTTAAATCCGTTGTTTTCTTGTATTTACCAAGTGGCAGCTAATGTTTATTTTTTTTTGATAATCAAATATATTTTAAAGGCCAAAATTGATCTCTCAATTGATTGTGTGGTTTTTGGTACTTCTTTGTGTTTCTTTGTGGTCATGTGTTGTAAATGGAATATGTTTGGTTTTGGACTTTTGGTTGGTTAAACAAGCTTCAATATGTCAACCCTGGTTTTATGAAATTGTATTTTTTTTAATATTTTATAAACCAAACAATCAATTAAGAAAAAAATTGGCAGATCAGTTGATAATAAACAGATTTCTTAGTTGCAAGTTAAATTAGATTTTTCAAATTCATTGAATAATAATGTTTAACAAGTACTAAATAAAAAAAAATCAAAATTTTCTTCAGTCCAAGCTGAAATTCAAATGGCTTTTTTTCTTTAGGTCATAACATTAACCATTCACATTTCAATTATTTAAGAAACTGAAAACCCTGAACCACTGAATTTGAGAAGCTGGAACCAGAGAATCTTTGGTGTTTTTATTTGATAAATAATTAAAAATATTAGTTGATTATTATTTCAGAACTTATCATTGCCATAAAAGTGTAGACTGTCTGATTTAACCTGTAACATGTTGTATATGCTTTCATCCACATTCAGGTTCCACTGCCCCAGAGGAGTATCAAGTTAAACAGAGATCTGGGGAGAAAAGGCAGCACTGAGACAGCAACCTCTGACAGAGCCCCGTCGGGTTCAGAGAAGACTACATCCGCCTCGGACCGATCAGCTGCTGCTAACATCTCTGAAGGAGACCGACCCAGCAGTATGGCCGAAGGTGCTGGAAGAAAGGAGCGGTCAGCATCTGCTGAGAGGGGAGTCTCCAGAGAGAGACCAGGAAGTGCTGGAGACAGACTGCAGGGCTCAGACAGAGAGCAGAGCAGAAACTCTGGAGTGGACCGAGAGCGAGACAGAGCTTCAGGGTCAGACCGAGACAGAGTTGACCGAGACAGAGTTGACCGAGACAGAGCTTCAGGGTCAGACCGAGACAGAGTTGAACGAGACAGAGACAAAGTTGACCGAGACAGAGTTTCAGGATCAGACAGAGACAAAGTTGACCGAGACAGAGTTTCAGGATCAGACAGAGACAGAGTTGACCGAGACAGACTTTCAGGATCAGACAGAGACAGAGTTGACAGAGACAGACTTTCAGGATCAGACAGAGACAGAGTTGACAGAGACAGAGTTTCAGGATCTGACCGAGACAAAGTTCAGGATTCTGACCCGAGACAGAGGTTTCAGGAATCTGACCGAGACAAAGTTTCAGGATCAGACAGAGACCGAGGCATGGCGTCTGATAGAGAGAGGGACAGAGTCTCTGGGTCGGGTTCACTAAAGGTAGCAGGTACAGGAGAGAGAGATGCTGAAGGAGAGAGGTCGATGAGGACAGAACGAAAGAACTCCGGCGGTGGAAGTGCAGGAGGGAGATCTGTCTCTCTGGATAAAATGACCATCGGAGAGAAATCAGCCATCACCAAGAAAGTGGTAGACCATCAGGAGAAACCGAGCATATCGTCTAAGGAGAAAGGGGAGGGATCAGAAAGAGCTGCTAAATCTGACAGGTCGGTTACATGTGTTTCCCTGCTGCTTGTCAAACCACCATCCATATCCATGATTGAAAGAAAGCATGATATAGAGGTAACTTATAGTGGTTCTGTAAACACAGTTGTTAATGCATGTAATTATATTGTCTCATTTCCCAGGAGTGTGTCCAAGGACAGAACGGAGAGGACTGTCCCCTCAGGAGAAAAACCAGCTGCTGCTCACAAAGAAGGTAATTTGAATCTCTGTATGTGTGCAAGATGCTAACTCTGATTTTGTCTTGTGCCAATGCGTGTGTCTAATTAAGCATTGATTAAACTCGTTTCCTCTCCTCCTCCCCCCTCCTTCTCTTGCAGTGAAAGATGGTGCAGAGTCTGTTGTGAAGAACAGACCCAGGATCAACCGTAAGGCTCTGACGAGTCACAACTTGGGCTCCACTAGGTGAGTGTGTCCACTGTTTTAGGACATGTTTTGTCTGACTTTATTTCCTGTCAGCTTTTGATAGCTAACAGGGCAATAGGAAATAGATTAATTGACATTTTCTGTAGTTTTCTTTAGGGATGGGTATCAAAACTCCATCCCTGTCAGTAGTATTGAATGTCTTGTTGGGTAACGTATTTGAACAGCTACTAGTGTTGAGACTAAATTTAAAGAAATAGTTGCTAGAGGCTCATGGCTACATATGCTGCTACCAGCTGAACACACCCACATCTCCAACCAAGCAACCAACCAGGAGCCTAGTTGCATTGTGGGTAATATAGGCTGCAGGTTTTCACAAATAGAAGAATTTGTGAAATTAAAATATGTCTGCGTCCTCTCACCACATTAATTTTGACCATTTTTGTTTTGAACTGTCCATCGTGAGTCCAACAGTGTTTTAGGAGTGCAATGTTAAACCGGTTCAGTACCAAATATGTTTGTTTTTTCCTCAGCACTAGGTCAACTCAAGAAACAAAGCGGGACTCAGACAAAGACCAGAAGAGTGTATCCTCCAAATCTGCCGAGCCCCAATCTAGCCCTGTGAACAGCCATGGCCGCAGCCCCAGTATTAGCCCAGCACCCAGCCCGACCAGGGAGGAACCGCTCATTCAGCCTCCTCCCCGCTCCAAATGGGAGAGAGAAGATGACGAAGAAGGCCAGGAAAACGGTCTTAGTGCACCCAAGGAGCCCTCACCAGTGCCGCAGAGGGGCCGAGGCAGAGAGGTGCAGAATGAAGCACCTAAAGCTGTCAGGAACGAAGGCCGGGATGGCGCAAGGGAGGAGAGGAAAGGAGTAGTGAGGGAAGAGAAGAAGGGGAGAGCACAGAGGGAAGAGGGTAAAGGTGGCAGGGCGGCACAGACAAATTCTGACAAACCAACCAAAACAAAAACTGTGAGGGAGGAAGGGAGAGCTGCAGCAAGAGAGGAGGGGAGAGGGGGAAGAGAGGAGGGCCGAGGTGTCACAGGAAAGGAAGAGAGAGCAGGAGATGGCCGAGGTGGCGGAGGACGAGAGGAGAGTCGTGGCCCAGAGCCAAGGAGACAGCGTTTGTGCTCCGACCTGGGTCGCGAGACCGATGAGGCAGCCTTTGTGCCCGACTACAGCGAAGGCGAAGGCTCAGACACGGAGAGAGGGAGGAGCGGCAGCCCAAGTCCGTCCCTCAGCCAAGCCTCCCACAGCCCCAGCCTGAGCCTCCACAGTGGCTCGGGAACCACCTCAGCAGACAAGAAGAAGAAGAAACACAAGAAACATAAAAAACACAAAAAGCACAAGAAGCACAGCGGCCAGGACAAAGAAGTGGAACACAAGGAGCACAAGCACAAACACAAGAAAAAGAAACACAAAAAGAACAAAGACAAAGATGGAGATGAAGAGGAGGAGAAGCTGGAGACTGCAGAGGAAGGGGCTCCGTGCTAACGTGGGGGCTAAGCTAGGACTGCTGCTTTGTTAATAAGGAGATAATGATGTACCTACAAATATCAGCTAACACTGGCATGCTGCTCCATGTGCCACTCTAAGGGAATGGTTGAAATGTGTGTTTGATTGTCTGTGAATCTGAAGAAGGGCTGTCTGGCTGTTATTCTAACACTCAGTTTCACTGCAGAAACTGATGCGGTACTTTGTTGTGCCTGGATTGCAGCATTACGACTGCTGCTGAGGCTTCTTTAATCATCAATGTGAGCGTCTTTGGTGACTTTGGGTCAGGAAAAACTCGGGAGAAATGCTGTTCTGCACTACTGTGATCAACCTAGAGCCGACAGAAAGGACTTTATGATAATAACTGATCACACAGCAGTCAATCTAAATGATTGGAATAACAATTACTGTACTCAGGGATGTGATTGCTTCTTTGTAGAGGAGGAATTGCTGTTTCTCTGCCTCTGATTCATTTGTAAATAGAGATTAACTATTGCTTCACACAATAATAATTTTTCCTGAGTTTATTTTGCTCACATCCCTGCGTGCTGTTCAAGGCTTAAAGGCTGAATAACCTTCATTGCTATGAGGGCTGTTGTAAGCTCTTTTTTGAAGGACTGTACTTGCGGTTTTGCATGTTTTAGCACGTTAACTCAAGAAAATATATAATTTTGTTTACTGCTAACCATTTTCAACATTTATAATCTCATGCTTATGCAGCCCATTGGTTTTAGTTCATACCAGTACAGTGTTTTGTTTTGATTTTGAGGTCCAAGTTGATGTAAATTTAAAATGAAGGCAAAAAAATGTTTCCTGATAGATTACCTATCTGAGCAAGGTTACACTTCTGCAAATTGATTTTCCTACCCAATTTAACATGAATAGCTGCAGTAGCTACCTGGGAAAGTATAAAACTCTTGGGGATGGTCAGCAGTACAGTATTTGCGATACTTTAATGTGCTAACACTTGCAAAATCACCAATATGGTCCTTTTAAGTTAAAACAAACCTTTATGCATCCGTGCTACACTGGATTGTATAAATTTAGGATGTGTTTATTAATAATGGAAAATCAGTCTGCATGTTTTTGTTCCAAAGGTGCAGTAGCTGTCTATCACGTTGTTTGAGTGAGTGAATGTGTGTCGGTGTGAAAGTGAAATGTGACAGAATTGGGACATGTTGGAGGACTAGTGTTCTTACAAATGAGTTGTTCCTGTGTTTTTTTTAATTAAAATGTTTTGACCTCATGAAAAAGTCTCTGGAGTATTTTATCAGTGTTTGAATCTTTAAGACCTTTGAGTGCAACATTAAAGTGTTTCAGGTGTTCGTAATAGTAAGTAAGTAAAGCTTTATTTATATAGTTGTTTTTTTTAACACAAATAATGATTTAATGAATGAAGAAACATTTTTTAAGTAGAAGTTCATATGGAGTAAAAAGATTCTCCCAACCCACACACGTAGAAATATTGTCTGTTAAAATTTTTATGAACACAGTGTAACCTTGGCTTCGTCTGGGCTGTGGCTAATAAATATCATACAGTATCTTTTAATATTTAATCAACACCAACATTAATAACTGTAAACACCAACACCAGTTTCTCAACTGGTACTGAGCCTTGTAAACCAACAGTGGGTGTAAGCTACTTAAATGGTGCATAACAATAAAAGTGCTGAAGGTGATGAAATCTCACCTACTAAATGATGATAAAACTTGCTTTGCAACATTCCAACATAATACAATGGATTTATTCTTACTACAATATATTATTTAACGCAGTGTAAAGTAAACTGCTCCACTTTTTACAGTAACTAAGGATGCCATAGTCTTACTGGAGAACACATGCTCATATACAGGTTCATTTATGATGTCTGTTTTGACCTCTAATCTTACAAGAGTTAACTCAACTTGACAGTGAATATCACCTTAAAACTTTGTCAACAGACAGTTGGCTCCTCTTTCTGCTTTTGCTCCTTGTGTATATTGCACCTTTTTCTGTGATCTTAATATTATAATACTCATGTTACTAGTTGAGACCTGAATTTAATTAGTTGGGCTGTCATTTGTGTGTCACGATACATTAGTTTCCTGCGTTCCAGTGCACATTTTGCTCCTCTGTGCTCCCACCACCTATCAGTGTGTAAACACAGGTGCATTGCACTAATTAAAATTTTCTATTTATATTTTTTTGTTAATTAAGAAGTCAAACAGACTTTTGTATGTTTTATTTCCCATGCAGTTACAGCAACATGGACATAATGTCTGGGCCTTTATATATATAGACATATTAGGTGATAAAAGAACAAAGATGTACTTCAGCAAATGGAGTATCAGATATATTTGAAAATAACTGGATCAGAGAGGATGGAGTATGTCCTCGAAAGCAGTTCCTCTGACAGAGTGGTGAGTTTCAGGGTCTTTGGCAGCCCATTCCTTTATAAACATGAATAATTAAAATAAAACGTCCCAGAAGGAAACAAGTGCAGTGAGACAGACTGAACACTGTGTGGAGCTGTAAGTCCTACAACTTTTAACATGGAAGGGAAACAGATTAACAATAAAAATCTTCTCTTATATGCCTCAGCTCCAAAAATACAGCTCTACATGTCAGTACCTCTCTCTCATTCTCCCAGAGCACACAGCAATAAGCTTCATTGTGTTTGTGTGTCTATGTGTGCATGTTGTTAGTGTGTGTATCTAGTCGGAGAGATGGCGTGACTGGTAGATCACAAATAAAACAGGCTGAAGGCAGAAGATGGGTTCACACACGGGTTGAGAGAGCAGCAGATGTATTTTCTCCTCAAACAGCAGTACATAAAAGCACATTCTCTGCTTAGTCCATGCATTGTATGGGTGTGTTTGTGTGCATGTGTGTGTGTATATATGTAAGGTCATCCTTAATGGATTCAGAGATCAGTGAGACCATTAGAGAAGATTAATATATTGTTTTAACCCCTGCCCAGATTATCTTCACAACTCATTATTGCTTCCATCTACCATCCTGCAAGGTTCACTCTGCATACGTGTGTCTGTGTGTCCATCTGTGTGTGTGCATGCGTGCACCTGTTCTGTGCCTGTGAGTTTGTGTGTCTGCTTGTGTTTTGTCTTACAAGCATGACATCATATCCTGTCATCAAGGCCAAAGGTTGCTAAGCAACTTCACTTCTGCCGATTGTCAGAAAAGATGCTTCTCCACTGACTGGTTTGCAACCTAAGTCTCGTTTATCCTCTGTCATAAATGTAATGTGTATGAAAGAGGCTGGCTATGTGTGCATGGCTGCCCATGCGTTTGTATGGACCACTGTGCATTTATGCTTGCAAACACAGTGAAGAAAAAGCTGTGAGAGAGAGAGAGGAGAGTGGAGTGTGGAAATGTATTGTCTGACAGATTTATATGTTTCCTGGAACTAATAAAAAGGATGAGTCAGAAATGTCACTGCATGGTAGAATCCCTCCAGTTGTTTGTCTAAAATACAGCAAAATATGAGTATGAGCAGCCTATTATGTTGGTGAAAAAATGACTGGTGTCTTGGATTTGTGGCTCTAACCGTAACTTTCTGTATGAAAGACTGTGACTACAAATGCAGTAACATTTTAGTTTAGCGTGCAAATATTTTGCACATACACGCACATACATGTATCAATAAAACATTACTGGGTATCTATACGAGGGCACATTTAGGGACAATGTAAGAAGAGAAGAAGTTAGGAAATAAGGGGGTAACAACTTTGTATTTAAGAGAGACTTAATAAATTGAATTACAGGCTACAGATACAATAATAAGACAGCATGGTAACATCATTACAGGGTAATATGGCAGATAACCCATTTATATCAATGAGGGTACACGAAATATGAGAAACACTTCTCAGTATAATGTAATACACCACAAACTTGAGTTTCCCAAAATGATCATAAAGTTGAATCAGTACCCTTCTACATTTTCATCAAAAAACAAACATTATAACCTTCATGAAGACTGGATTTATTGCAGGACTGTTGTATAAGACTGCATTCGTTTTAGCTAGGTGTATCTAATACTGTAGTATATATAACAACACTGAGAGTCCTCAGTCATCCTCAGCAAGTATAATGTTTACCGTGTCAACATTTTAGCTTCGTGTGTAAGAATGCTAACATTTCCTAATTAGCACCAAACACAAAATACAGCTGAAGATTATGGGTAAGCTATTCATTTTGCAGGAATTTGATCAAAAACCAAACTTGGGACCAATTAAAATTGTGCCCTGATGATGGCACTATATGAAAAGATCATCACCAAATTTGTCCGGAGAGGAACATCAATGTACCAAACTTTATGGTAATTCATTCTTCAGTTGCTGAGACTTTTCACTCAGTATCACAAATGTCAACCTCCTGGTGGCACTAGAGGAAAAGTCAGAGGATTGCCAAAGTCAGTCATTCTTAATTAATTAATTTTGTCTGGGGACCATGAATGTCAAAATTTAATGGCAATCCATCCAATAGTAAAGTAAAAATTATAGCTTTAAACATCTCATACAGTACTTATTACAGTGTATTTCTTTACTAGTAATTTTGAATTAAATACATCATAACTACTTACTCAAAACATCAGTATTGTCACCTTGTTTTTCCTACTCTTCTGATTGCTTTCTTGTATATACCCTGTAATTATTTAATATGTGCCAGGTAACATTTAGACAGAGGCAGAAAAGACAGATTTACAGTCAACAGAGACGCATAATTACTGTTGTCTCCTTTGTCCCCCTTCTCTAAAAACGGAAACTTTAAGAAGCAGACACCGACACTGTTCGTGTACTACTAATGTAACAAGGTCAAGTAAAGTAGTAGGCAGGCTCAGTGTCACCGTGCTCCTGTGTTTCTGTACATGTACAGTATGCATGTGTTTGCGCTTTGCATCAGGATGTGCCCTCAGGTGGTTGTCATGGGAAATTCAATGACTGATCAGGATTATTGATCTGTAATTGATTCCCACAGTGTGTGTATCCGTGACAATGGCATGGAATAAAACACATCCCCATATATAATGTTATGTGATGGTCACCATGGAAACACACCCAAGGGGCGCCACCACACACCGATAATAATGTTTGGCCTAGATACCCATCCTCAACCGATAACAGAGGAAATGTATTTCTGCCCGCCTGTGTGTGTGTGTGTGTGTGTGTGTGTGTGTATTTCAGTTTCAGTGACTAATGTAAACCATCATTTGAACACACCACAGTGACAGAGTTGGAGTAAAAAATGCATGAAATGATCCTGTGGAGCAGAAAGAGTCTTGCATGAGTTACACGAGACAGTAAGTGTGAGAAGGATGAGACGAGCTGGAAGGAAGGGGGGAAAGGAATGGGAGTGGGAGTGGGAGACCCAATAACAACTGATTACTACCAACGCACACACAGAGAAACATACACACATACACAGGGGGTCCCAACAACGCTCATCAGTTTTCTTCTCGGGGAGAGAAAGAGGTGTGTGTGAGTTTTTGTGTGTTGAATGTGTCCTAGATAACTTAAACACTGTTGTTGAGATACACTAAATGTTTGATGTCTGCTGCTGGCTGCTGCTGTAAGAGTTATGATAGCTGTGTGAAGTCTGTCTGCTGTTGATTGGGTATTGCACGGTGTTTCCCTACTCTGAGTGAAAATCTAATCTCAGTTTTTAGCCACACCAGTGGGGAATTTGTTGGTCTGTTAGTCTGAAAGTCCAAGTCAAGGATGAAGCAGATTGACTTCATATCCGGCACCATCAACAGATAACAATGTCCACTTGTCCACTTTAAGTCATGAGAAGATATAAGTGACGAATTAAAATAAAAAACAGCATAAAGTGTGTCAGCCAGGTAATGGTCCACCACAAGAACAGCTTATGTGCTCCTTGGAGTAGCTTTAAGAGCCTGAAACTCTGCTCAGTAAACCATTTTATGACCCTTTGTTTGTTATATTTCTCCGATCATTTATTAAGGTTTCGAATTCATCACCTGTTTGTACTATAAACACACTATAAACCACACTCCCATCAGCCTCAGTTGTAATTTAAATGTCCAGTGTGCAACATTTAGGAGGATCTATTGGCAGAAAGGGAATACAATATAAGTATAATCGCCTGAATATAGAGATCATTGTGTTTTCATTACCATAAAATGAGCAGTTTTTATCTACAGACTGATCTGACACGCTGATAATATTTTCAGCTTGCATTAATTGCGCAAATTTACCCACTGAAGTGTTTATTTGCCCCAAACA